CCAGGCAGGCCGCCCTTCTCCCCCCTTTTCCCGGTGCGGTGGTGGGGGGGGGGCTTTGGGGGGGTGTGGGCCGGTTGCCTGAGGTACCTGGAGACTTGGGTACCTAGATAAGGTACCTACCTAGAGCCGCGCTCGAGTCCGGAGAGCGTCAACCTCGTTCGACCTTTGCGGCTTGGAAGGTGGAGGCCTGTTGCTGGAAGCGGTAGGATGGTGGTGGTTGGTGGGGGGGGGGGGAAGGTGCGGCCAGGCAACGAGAGAGAATGTTGTGTGCCGGTACCGACCAAGGTGCCAAGGCTTCTGAGAACCTTGCTCCTGCTGGGCTCCTGCTGGGCTCCGTGGGTGGTGTGGATTTGTGGCTCAGGACCCAGAATGTGGATTCAGACGTGGCAGCGCGGGCTGGCTCTCGTACCTAGGCAATTGCAGGCACAATCGCGCCCCAAAATCGATGGCGACACAGATGGCGATTGCTCTTTTGCTTCTGGTTCGAACCAAGGTGCCTGGGAGTGGAGGCCGCTAACGTACCAGGTCGTAAAATCTGCTTGCAGGGGGGTGATCCCTGTACCTGCTAGCGGCGGATCGGAGTCCAAGTGGCCGCGCTTTGGTTGTTGGTCTTGGCCTTGGCCTTGGTTTTGGTCCTGGTCTTGGTCTTTTTTTTTGTCTTCCAGTGGATGATGGTCTTTCTGGCGCGCGTTGTGCTAGCAACCCGACAATCGGTCGCGATTTTCTCTCCGACGGATGATGATGAAAGTGTGACCGAAAGGAAGGGGAGAGGCGTTCCGCTCCACACTGCTTGCTGTTGCAGGATATCGCTCCCTGTCTCGTCGTTTGCGCTTGGATCTTTGTTCTGTGGACAGTCAAAGTTTTCGTCTCAATTGACCACACTCTGTTCCAGTCACTTTGTTCTGTCGTCCTGCTGCTTTCTTCCTTTCGTTGAAGGCTTTTCGCCTGTTGTTTGCAGTCACCCGCCAATCGTGGTTCTGGATTGTTGTTTGTGGTTTGCGTTCGCTGATCGACAGCGGGAGTATCCCACCAGAACGGGGGAAAAAAATGTTTCAACGACTTCCGAAACCCCTCTGATCCTCTGATGGCGTCTGGCGTATGGGGAGACTGATCCTCAAGGGCTGAGCTCGGGACCTATCTTCGACGGAAGCGTAGCTCTTCTCAATTGCGTTGCTGAGGTGTGTCCCTGTGTCTGGAATGTGTCTTGTACTGACAGTGAATCACCACTGCAGCAGTTCCTGACGTCCCGCGTGGTGTTTCAACGTCTGGCCGGCTTTTTAGCACCTCGGAATGTGTGTAAATCAGTCGTCTTCTGTTCTCGTCGACCCTTCTGACGCTTTCTGTCGTTATCTGTCTTAAGCACCCACACTATTGTGCAAAAGGTCCGGCAATGCCGTTGATGCCGCTGGCCGAGTCGTGAAAGTGAGCGACAGGCGACGATAACGGCTCAGGCACTATGAGTCCGAAGGGGCGGCGGGCTTCACACACAAGTGCCGGAAGTGTCGTCTGCGTAACTGCAAAGGCTGATGCTGACTGGCTGGGTCCCTCGTTGTCCTGTAGCACAGCTGTCTGTCGGTCTTGGTGGGTCACCACTTCGATTGGAAGGCGGTGCGGCGGGACAAAACGAGTGACTGTGGTCCTTTTTCTCCCGATTGTGTGGGAAGTTGCTGATGAGGCGGGATCTCACGATGCTGACAGTGAGAGTTCACGTGGAGGCAAAAACAGATCAGAAATCGGATCAAGCCAAGAAAGGAGTCACGTTCAAGCAAAGTCCGGCGGTGGCGGGTTTCTATCTATACGAGCTGCGAGGCAGGCAGGGCAGGGCAATTGACACGAAGAATGCTTACACGACACACCACCTCGCCAGGTTCCTCGTCAGGTTTGAGACCAACCATCGATGAGGCCGCGCAAAGCTGCGGCGTGGTGCCCTGCCGCCAGTGGCTACGCCAGCCTGCATGGGACTAGCCTGCCCCCATGCCCCTCCAAAGAAAAGTCTTCTGAAATCGGGCATCCCATGCTGCGCCGACCTCACAAAGCCGGCGGCATCGTCTCACAATCTGACCATGGGGTTATCAGTCCAGTCGACCGTGCTGAAGAGCATTGTGATTACGCGTTCCGGCCCCTCGTCGGGCTCTGGCAGCTTCTTTCCTCCGCTGGGCCCGGACCCATCTCAATTGTCATGGTGCGAACCTTAGCAGCGTCGTACCTTGGTCGACGGCCATGTTCTGCAAATCCCAACTCCCGAACTTGTCCCAACACACACCAGGGGCTTGGGGGTACCTGGGCCTACAGCGCTGATCTTGCACCGATCGACCTTCTTGACGTATCCCGGGGCACTTCTGACGACGGCCCTCATCATCGACCACGTACTGCTGCTACTCTTACTCTGCTGGATCTTGATCTCTTGTGGCCGGCGGGTTGGCCGATGATTGAGCCAATTGAAGGGGCTATGCTGCGGAGAATACGAAAAGACGCTTCCCCTGGATGAGCACCCATCGGGTTGCGTCTGCCTCTGCGGAATCCCACGGCGTGCACACCTTGACCTTCTCTGAGACTGAATGCCGAGAATCTCCCCTCTCGAGCTGCAAGTGAGGGGCACATCAACATCGGCGCCAGCCATCGTGGTTCGAGCTACCAGGCCCCCCTGGTCCTGCCTGCGTCGTGGCATACCATGTACCAGCCTGCCTGCCAGCATACGAGACACAGCTTGCCATCGTCACCGGCTCGTTCGGACTCGCACCAGGATTAAAGAAAAAGCATGCGATACTGACCGGTTAGCTGCAGCCTCTTTTGGGGTTTCAGCGCCAGAGGTCCCAACCCCAGATGGCGCCTTTCCTGAGATGGCGGCAACCTAGCATTTGGCAGCGTGGAGACACTGTGGTGCATTTGCCTGTCGGATCGTCCGCCATAAGCTTGTTTCGTTCTGAGTGGGTGGTTTCGTTTGTTGGGCCACAGCCCAGCACTCTAGCTTGAAGTTTCTTCCCCTTGACTTCCTGTAGCATCGCCCACAAGACGCACCCAGTTCCCGCCACCTTCAGCTTCGTGTGGTATCGGCCTTCACGAGTGTCAATCCCGAGCAAGGCTATCGAATTTGACCTGACGCTGGAACTGTGATCAACATCAACAATGAGGTGGTCGTCCAGCTCGTGACATGTTGGGAAGGAACGCATGCCAGCAGGTCAAACAATTGTCGAATTACACACGGCATTCCCGGAATGTTCCCCCGATTGCCCTCACCGCATGTCCGATACATCCGGCATCACCTTGAGCCCTTGTCTATCGACTCTTGTTCCATGCGTAGACACCCAGCGCCATCAGCAAGGCTGCCGGAAAGTACTGTGATCAACATTCAATAGCTTTGGCACTCTATCTCTGGAGCACCACTAGCAGCCGGAAATGGGGGGCGGGGGGGGGGGGGCTTAGGTTCAACGTCGTATCACGACATGGTAACAATCAACTAAGCCTTCTTGCAAAAGGACCACCACGAGTGATACACATAGCATCGATCAATAGCCAGCTACAAGCTACTGACCAGCCATTGCTGATCACGTGTGTCCGAACATGACTGTGTATGTATACCTTCACGAACACCGTGTCGTCTGCCACATCAACCGCCGTACATTTGCACATGTATCAAGCACGAGCGGCACCTCCACATCTTGTAGGGTCTTCAAAACAACATGACACCAGGTGTTCGACTACGTTCCGCCTAGTCAACAGTCCATTGATGGCAGGCAAAGGTAATAGTCATGGACCGCGGAGGTTATCCGACGTATTATCACTGCCCTCCTCAGAGTAATCGAGGCTGCCCCGAGACGCAAGATTGAATGTCAACTGGCATTAGCTCACAACAGTGGCTTGTCAGCAAAGTATTGGTGGCTTCTTCAATGGTGCTAGAACGTTCCCACCAACCTCATACATCTTGGACTGATATCGTGGTACCTCTAATACCGCCGAAAAATGTCGTCTGCACTCAGATTACCAGCAGCCAGAAAGACGCGACGGAGACCATGCACAGATCGCCTTGCAGTGAGGCATCGACGAGAACAGAGTTGCTGGCGGGTGCGGCTTTGAGCACGCATGATGCCACGGCGTGCATGGTGAGAATGTGTGGTGTGTGTTTTCCATGACAAACTTGCGACATGAGTGGGCGTGATCGCCTCAGGGGATGGGCATCATCTGTAAACTTGAGTTACACTCTTGTGGGCTACGTCTGCTGAGCTCTAGGTGCCTCGGCGAAGTTATGATGGAGCATATTGAAACCAACAGCGAGTGTCACTCGGGCAGCGCAGTCCGCGACGTGGATATACGGACCGGCCTGACGTGAAAGCATCGGCAGTACGGCAAGAGATATCGCATATGCCTTCAGATTATGCGACCATTAGTATACCTAACGTCGTAACGCCCACTGGGACAAGCGACATGGAATGGAGTGACCTCAGACATATCAACAATAGGTGGTTCAAGACAATACATGGGAGGCAGGGTCGGCACAAATCCGGTCAAGACTGGGATGGCGGTGATGGGCTTTCGGTGCAAGGCGTGGGCGCGAGAAATCATCATGTTTATAACGCCGCAAAATGCGACGCATCCTGACAACAAAAAGTGCCGGTCTAACCCATCCCATTACCGAAGTCATTGACAGAGGAGAGAAAGGAAGAGAGAGAGGTTGGCGGTGTCCGAAACTCCGTACCCTCCCCCCTTCCCAAGCGCTCTCCAAATCGTGTCGTCGCCGTCGGCTCCTCTCATGCAAGTGTGTTTTTTTTTTGTGGTCTCTCCCAATTCATAATTCCAGTCGGCTGCTTGCTTATCTCTCACGCGGGGACCGAGATCACGCGGGGGATGTGCCAATTCATCTTTCTCTTTCGTTCTTTGTTGGTCTCGTAAGGGGGGAAAGCCTTCAAGAGAACGTTTCGACAAGTTTCTTTCGTTGGCTGCGGTGGGAACTTTGTTCGCGGCTTGAGCGGGATTTTGTGTTTGACGAGTTTCATTTGGGGAGCCTTGAGCCCAAGGCTATGCTCTGATCCTTGACCATGACCATGGCCAATGCAGCCAATTCAGAAACCATCCTCACTACCAACTCCATCCGAGACGAGAACCCTCTTATATCGAGGAGGGGTAAAGCATCACACGAACCGACGCACCGAAGGACTTGGCGGGCAGGGGGTGGCGGAACTTGGCGCGGACGACACCAGAGTTGCCTGTTGACAGCGTTAGTGGACTGCGTCGTGAGGCGGGGGAAACCTGCTCGGGGAGATGTATTTACCGTGGGGACGAGTGACCTTGCCCCAGATGACACGGATCCGAGAGCCGCGGATCTCCTTCTGGGCCTTGTAGACGTAGGCGACCTTCTTGCCGAGGTAGAAGCTGTTCGAGGGTCAGCAAAACAGTGCTTTGTTGATTGTCACTGAGGAGGGCGTGGCCTACTTGGCAGCGTCGGTGTTGTCAACGCCCTCGATCTTGATCAGGCTGGTCTCGGAGTGCGTGACGTGGCGGCTACGCTGGTAGGACAGGTGACGTCCCCTATTTCCTCAAGTCAGCCTCCTGCTCATGCTCGTCCCATCGCTTCGCTGTGTGTGCGCAAGATTCGCTCGGTCGGTCGGGGTTGGGTTGTGCGTCGTGTTTCGGTTCATGTTCGTGATTCGAGTTGCGCATGCGGTCCTCCAGAGCGCGATAAATGGTAATACTCACTTGACGTATACTGCAGAAGCACTGTTAGCCAAGATTCATTCAAACTCGTGGCATGCCTGCGATGCGATCGTGAAGTGCATCCTCCGCATGCGCCGGTTGGCGGGGGACTACTCACGTCTGTGTCCCTGCTCCGAAGGCATCTTGTCGTATTCCCTCACTCCAACGTATGTGCTGTTGTAAGGAAAGTTAGAGAATTGTCGCGGCAAGACGATTCTCCAAGGTTAGTTGCCGGCCGATTTGTCGTGTGAGTCGTTGAGTCGCTGGTCGTGATGGTCGGTGGTGGCAGGTCCACTGGAATAATTTTCGATTCGGGAAGGCGTTGCCCTAGGTCAGGTGACGGGGATTGTGCGTTTTCGCCTGTTCAATAATTCAAGGCCTCGATCGAGGCTTATCGTCTATCAGCCTGCCTTAGTAATCCAGAGAGGAAATGTGGCTGGTGCGCTGAGTAAGGCCCTTATTGCGGCCTCAGATGGCCTGTGCTTGGCCTTCTCATGACTGGTGCGGCTCGCTCGCCCAATTTGGCCGAAGCGAGTGGATCTGCCATTGTCTATGCCGATACTTTACCCTGGAGAAAGTCCGTCAATCGCGCGTCAGAGTGCCTGGAGTCATCAGCCTTGCAGCCCTCGATCGTCGGAGATGCTTCGAAACGAAACATGGCAGGTCATGTAGTGCGATCAACCCCCACCAAAGCCCCAACTGGTTCTGCAATGCAAATTATCACGAAATCGTCATCGGTGTTCGAATGTGCTTTCGAAATGGATAAAATGCCTTCTTGTATCGTTCTCGTTTACGACTATCGGGGCAGTGTACCTGGATGGAAAGGTATTTGCAACTCCGGTCGTTTGGCATATCAGTGATGTCATTCATCATCTCGGCCAGCTTTTCAGTCATCGTTGACGAGTTGATGAATTGATGGCATCACGAGATTCATGTATAGAAAAAAGCGCCTTCGATGTGCAAAAATCCACCAAGTTGCTGGAGCCCCCGGCTGAAGACTGCCCAGCCGCGGTTCACCCACGGTGAATCTCAACCGGAGGTCTTCGGTGGTGGAAGAGATAGGCCCAGCCCAGTTCATATCAGACATCCACCAAGTACGCTTGGCTGAGTGCTCTGTCTGCGCGAATTGAACCGGAGGGGCGCGGGGTTTTTTGACATCGGGAGGTTCGAAGCGCGACTCGACGATTGGATACCAGAGGTTGAGTGTAAAGGCGGCCGGCCTCGCTGTGGACGATGGGGGGCCGAGGGGCCAGGCTCACCAATTTCTACGACGGTGCAACGCTCGCTGCGGCCTGTGTCTACCGACGGCGGGATGAATGGGGGGGGGGGGGGGGGGGGGGGGGGGCAGAGAAACATTCGACAGCGACAGATGGGGGACAGCAAGGAATACAAGAATAGAGGGTTTCCCATCCTCCTTCGCGCGAACTGATTTCTGATCCAGTGAATGAGAGACTTGTATCTCCTCCGTGCTCAATCCACAGACGTCTTGACGTGTATTTACCCGCCTGTTCACACGCGTAAGTCATACGCCCGTTGGCGCTTTTTCTATCCTTTTCTTGTCCGCTTCACCTTGGCTCTTGGGCACCGAAATGCAACAGGAAGTCCATTGTACGTGCCATCACGGTCATTGTGCTTCGGAGGACTCGGGGGCATTTCATCTGAAATCCACGGCGTACACACTACTCTACGACTCTCAACGTTTATAATCAGACCGAGATCGCCGCTCTCGGTCTTAAAGCCGAAAGTCAACAACTCACCAGCCCCTCACCTGGACCCCCACCAAGGACACTGACCAGAAGCAATTTCGTCACTGTTTCCTGCCTGTCGCATCGACGAGTCCGCACCGCTGGAACCGATAGCGCCCCCTCCCCTCCGGCGACCGCGGAGTTGTTCCTTGCTCGCTCCCTGGGCCTTCATCTGTTCTGGCTTCGGGCGCATACAACACCGACGAGCCTCCCACGATCTGCCCTCCCGTTCTTGTCACCACACCCTTCTCCTGGATTTTTTTTCATCCCACCAAAGCTCAACCCTGACCCTGACCCTGACCCCTCTTTTGCTAGCCCGGTTGAACGCAGTCCGAAGCCGGCGATAACGACCTCATCTCATAACGAAGTTGCGGAAAAGTGAGTTCCTGGAACCCCGTGGATTTCCACCCCCATGCCCACTACGTCCACAACCTCCGAGCTCTCGTCCGACCAAGATGGCCGCTGGATCGCTTCCAATTAAACCCCGCCAGCTGGAACGGCGAGCTCCAGCCACCCACCCCCAGTATTCTGGGCGAGTGGTGGTCCGGCCGGCGCTGGCAACCAGGCATCCTGGGGGGGAGTGCAGGGGGAGTGCATCCGCCGGGAAGCGACGGCGGGGCAGTTGACAGTTTGACTGCCCTGGAAAGACCCCCTCAGTTGCGCCGCCTGTTCCCCCCAACCAGGCCGGCCCAGCCCAGTCCCAGTGCAGTCACAGCAGTGAGGCGAGCCTGCCGAAGCGTCATTACTAACATGCCGTCGGGGTCGGACCTACCTATCTTACCTCACCTTTCGTCACCTCTGCCAACCTTCCTCCGTCTTTCGACCTCTTGCTCTTCCTCTTCCTTCTGGCTAACTGGTAAATTTCGACCCTCGACCAGTTCCTCTTGCGACATATTCTATCCTCCCCTGTCTTCTCCGAGAGTCTACCTCTTCACCCGACCGCCATCATGTCCGAACTCACATCCGCCGCTTCGTACGTATCGCATCGCTGCTCTTTTACCCCACCAGCCGCCCGCACCTCTCCAACATTGCTTCTCGGAGCTTCGCCGCCCATGTCCGCGCCGCCAGGCGCGCGAGAGCCCTCTGCTGAGCTGCAGAACCACGCCAAAGCATCATGCACAGGTCGACTGACATCAATTCGCCTCACAGGACGCTGGAGCTGAAGGACAACACCGTCATTATTGTCCTCGGTGCCTCGGGCGATCTAGCCAAGAAGAAGACGGTATGAGCGACCGCTGCGGCGTGCCCCTCATTTCCGCCCGCAATCTGCTGACTTTATTGTCTTAGTACCCCGCGCTCTTCGGTCTGGTATGTGCCACTGCGTCTCCTTTTATCAGTTGCATTGACGACAGCAACTAAATGGAGTGAGAGTTCCTCGAGACGGCCATGGCTAACCTCCAACAATTAGTACCGCAACCAGTTTCTGCCCAAAGATATCAAGATCGTCGGATATGCGCGAACCAAGATGGAGCACGACGAGTACATTCGTCGCATCCGGTCCTACATTAAGACCCCCACCAAGGAGATTGAGCAGCAGCTGAACGACTTTTGCAACCTCTGCACATACGTCTCCGGCCAATACGATAAGGATGAGTCCTTCCTCGCCCTGAACGACCATCTTGAGAAGCTCGAGTCCGGCAAGCCCGAGACCCATCGTCTTTTCTACATGGCTCTCCCCCCCAGCGTCTTCACCATTGTGTCCCAGCACCTGAAGAAGTGCTGCTACCCCAGCAAGGGCATTGCCCGCGTTGTCGTAAGTCGAGTCCTTCTGGACGCAGCCATAATGCACTCCTAACACGACTGTCTGCAGGTCGAGAAGCCCTTCGGCAAGGATCTCGCCAGCTCTCGCGAGCTGCAAAAGTCGCTCGAGCCCGACTGGAAGGAGGACGAGCTCTTCCGCATTGACCACTACCTTGGCAAGGAGATGGTGAAGAACATCCTCATCCTTCGATTCGGTAACTCATTCTTCGGCGCCACCTGGAACAGGCAGAACATCGACAACGTCCAGATCACATTCAAGGAGCCTTTCGGCACCGAGGGCCGTGGCGGCTACTTTGACGAGTTCGGTATCGTCCGCGATGTCATGCAGAACCATCTGCTTCAGGTGCTGACCCTGCTTGCCATGGAGCGACCCATCTCCTTCTCCGCCGAGGACATTCGCGACGAGAAGGTCCGCGTGCTGCGTGCCATCCCCGCGATCGAGCCCAAGAACGTCATTATCGGTCAGTACGGCAAGTCGCTGGATGGCAGCAAGCCGTCGTACAAGGAAGACGACACTGTCCCCAAGGACTCGAGGTGCCCGACATTCTGCGCCCTGGTCGCCTACATTAAGAATGAGAGGTGGGACGGAGTGCCGTTCATCATGAAGGCCGGCAAGGCTCTCAACGAGCAGAAGACGGAGATTCGCATTCAGTTCAAGGATGTCACGTCGGGTATCTTTAAGGACATCCCCCGTAACGAGCTCGTCATGCGTATCCAGCCCAACGAGTCGGTCTACATCAAGATGAACTCCAAGCTCCCCGGCCTCAGCATGCAGACGGTCGTCACCGAGCTCGACCTCACCTACCGCCGCCGTTTCTCGGACCTCAAGATCCCCGAGGCCTACGAGTCCCTCATCCTCGACTGCCTCAAGGGCGACCACTCCAACTTTGTGCGCGACGACGAGCTGGACGCCAGCTGGAGGATCTTCACCCCCCTGCTGCACTACTTGGACGATAACAAGGAGATCATCCCCATGGAGTACCCCTACGGTGAGTGCCCCCTTTCGTGACTGTCCGACCGATGCCGTGGCGTCACTAACAGTGTTTGCAGGCTCTCGCGGCCCTGCCGTTCTCGATGACTTCACTTCTTCATACGGATACAAGTTTAGTGACGCTGCTGGTTACCAATGGCCGACGACTGCGGCTTCGGCGCCTAACAAGTTGTAAGTGGAAGAGCATTTGGTGCCTTGGAGCATACTTCTAGATAGGGAATTGAGACTCATGATTTGTTTTCTACCTGCACAGCTAAGTCAAGCGCGGCGCTTACGTTTTCTCCACGCGTTCTCTCGATATCGCACGACAGAAACCATTTGAAACGACGATTCTTGGCAGGGAAAAGAAAAACAGCAGGAGGCATGATGGATGGTACTGAATTCCGAGGGCATACATTAGTTGCGATGGAGTCACAAAGGGCAAAGTTATGGGCGGTTCGGTTGGTCTTTGGTGCAATGTGTAGTTAGTTACATTCATGTCTATGAAACAAAAAACGGACGGAAAAGAAGCATTCTCTCCTTACGACCACCATGTGGCTGTTTGGTGTCACCCTTTTCTGTGGTGCCCCCTTTATCTCGTGTCTCGCG